AAGAAATCTTGACAAATTTAAAAGAAACAAAATCATAAAGTATGTTTCTGACCACAATGGAGTTAAACTAGAAATTAATAACAGAAAGATACCAGAAAAATCTCTAAACACTTCAAAACTAAACAATATGCTACTAAATACCCCTGGGGTCAAGAGGAAGTCTCAAGGTAAATTAAGAAAATATAATGAACTGAATGAAAACACAAAATATCAAAATTTGAGAATCACAGCTAAACCTTGTCTGAGAGACAAATTTATAGCACTAAGTGCATACATCTTAAGAGGAAAGTTTCAAATCAATATCTAAGCTCCCACCTTAAGAACTTAGAAAAAGAGCAAATTAAACCCAAAGCAGTAATAAAGAAAGAATAAATAGCAGAAACCACTGAAATTGAACATAGAAAACAAGAGAAAATTAATGAAACAAAGAGCTGATTCTTTGAAAAGATCAATAAAATTGACAAATTGCTACCAAGACTGAAAAATAAAAAAGGAAAGATGACACAAATAACCAATACCAGAAATGGAAGAGGAAATACCACTACAGAGGCTGCAGAAATCAGAGGTAAGAGAATGCTATGAACAACTCTACATTCACAAATTTGACAACAGACAAAATGGACTACTTCCTCAAAAAAAAAAAAAAACTACCACAACTCATCCAACATGAAAAATAATTTGAATAGTTCTATGACTATTAAGGAAATTTAATTCATGATGTTAAACTATAAAAAAAGAAATTTCTAGGCCCAGATGAAGAACTCTAATAAACATTTAAAGAAGAATTAACACCATTCTACACAATCTCTTCCAGAAAATAGGAGGGAACACTTCCCATTTCATTTTATAAAGCTAGTATTACCCTGCTATCAAAAGAAAAAACATTCTTACCTATAGATGACATAACTGTCTACAGAGAAAACTCCAAGAAATATACCCAAAAACCCCTCCTAGAACCAAAGAGTTCAGCAGTGTCACAAGACACAATTAACATATTGATACCAAAACTGGAAAATTAAATGCCATTTACAATCACTCCTTCAAAAATGAAATACTTAGCTATAAATCTAACAAAACATGTATGAAACATGTATGAAATCTAACAAAACATGTTGAAAACTATACAACACTGGTGAATGAAATTAAGATCTAAATAAATGGAGAAACATACCATGTTAACAGATTAGAAGACTCAACAGAGTAAAGACTGCAATTCTCCTCAAACTGATATATGGACAACACAATTCCTATTAAATTCCCAGAAAGATTTTTTGTAGATATAGACAGAATTATTCTAAAACTTATATAGAAAAGCAAAGCAACCAGAATAGCTAAAACAAGTTTGAAAAAAGAATAAAGTAGGAAAAAAAAAAGAATAAAGTGGGAATTATTCTGGTTTCGAGATTTATTAGGCAAAGAAAATGAACCTTAATCTAAAAATCTCACACTGTGCAGAAAGGATCAGCATGTCTGAGTTTTCCACACTCTACGCATTCCAAGAAAGGTTTGGCCCCCGTCTGGCTTCTAAGATGCAACCACTAAACCCTTGAACTATCCTGCCTAATGAGAATGTCTTTGTTTGCCTGGGGACCTTGAGTAACTCCATATAGTCCATGCTAATAATGTGATTTTGTTTGGAGCCTTGAACCATGTAATATCAGCTTGACTTCTCAAGGGCTGGAGCCTAAGGTCAAAGGCAGTCCACAAAGGCAGTCAACCATACCAACATAACCTACCCACAGTAAAAATCCTGGACACCAAGGCTTGGATGACCTCACCTGGTGAGCAATACTGTGTATGTGGTATCATCACACACCACTTCTGAGAGAATTAATCACTGTCCACACAACTCCACTGGGAGAGGACAACTGGAAGTTTGGACCTGCTGTCTCCTGGACCTTGTCCTTTGCTTCTTTTTCTACTACTAATTTAAATCTGTATCCTTTCACTGTAAAAAAAAACAAAAAAACCATAACCATTAGTATAACAGCTTTTCTGAGTTCTAGCAAATAATTGAGCCTAAGAGTGGCCTCAGGGACACCCAAACATACACACATTATACAAAATTAACTCAAAATGGATCACAGACTTAAATGGAAAACATAAAATGATTAAAATTTTAGAAAAAAGAAAAAAGAAGAATATTCAAGATCTGGGACTAGGCAAAGAGTTCTTACTTAGCCTTGACCCCAAAAGCACAATCCATATAGGCAAAAACTGATACACTGGACTCACAAGCTTAAAAACTTTTGCTCTGCAAAAGACACTGTTAGAGGATGAAAAGACAAGCCAGACTGGAAGAAAATGTTTGCAAACAGAAGAGCCAACAAAGGATTAGTATCTGAAATATATAAAGAACTCTTAAAACTCAACAGAAAAAAAGGAAAAAAATCCAACTAGAACATGGGCAAAAGACATGAAGAACATTTCAACAAAGAGAACATACAGAAGGCAATTAAGCATGTGAAAAAATGTTCAATATTATTAATCTTTAAGAAAATGAGAATGAAAACCACAATGAGATATCACTACATTCCCATCAGAAAGGCTAAAATTTAAAAACCACCAAAGAAAAAAATTAACTAATTAACTTAATAAACTAAAAACCTCTAAGGGGTAGCAAGGATGAAGAGAAAGTTAGATCACCCATACAGAACCACTTCCACCACTGATGGAAATGGAATAGTCACTTTGGAAAACAGCGTGACAGTTTCTTTAAAAACTAAAATGCAACTGCCATACAACCAGCTACTGTGCTCCTGGACATTTACCATAGAGAAATGAAGACATGTGTTCACACCAAAACCTGTACGTGAATGTTTATATTTATAGCAGCTTTATTTCTAATAGCCAAAAACTGGAAATAATCCAGATGTCTTTCAGTGGGTTAATGGTTACGCAAAATATGGTCTATCCAATACCACCATTGCTAACTACTACTCAGCAATAAAAAGAAATGAACTATTGATACACACAACAACCTGGATCAATCTCCAGAGAAAAAGGCCAATTCCAAATCGTTACATACTGTATGATTCCATTTATAGGGCACGCTTGAAATGACAAAATTACAGAAATGGAGAATGGATTAGTGGTTTCCAAGAGTTAAGAAGGGGTGGGGGGCTTCCCTGGTGGCTCAGTGGTTAAGAATCTGCCTGCCAATGCAGGGGACATGGGTTCGAGCCCTGGTCTGGGAAGATCCCACGTGCCATGGAGCAACTAAGCCCGTGAGCCACAACTACTGAGCCTGCCCATCTGGAGCCTGTGCTCCACAATGGGAGAGGCCGCAACAGTGAGAGGCCCATGCCCCGCTATGAGGAGTGGCACCCGCTCGCCGCAACTGGAGAAAGCCCTCTCACAGAAATGAAGACCCAACACAGCCAAAAAAATTAATTAAAAATAAACTAATTAATTTTTTAAAAAGAAGAGGGGGGAGGGGAAGTGGGTGTGAGCAGAATAAGGTATACTGTGGTGATAGGAATGTTCTGTATTTTGACTATATCAATGTCAATATCCTGGTTGTGATACTGAAGTGTAGTTTTGCAAGATACTAAATGGGGGGTGAGATAAAGGGTATATAGAATCTCTGTGCTATTTCTTTAAATCACATGTGAATCTACAATTATTTCAAAATAAAAAGTTTAGTTAAAAAATGAATGAAGGGGGCTTCCCTGGTGGCGCAGTGGTTGAGAGTCTGCCTGCCGATGCAGGGGACATGGGTTCGTGCCCCGGTCTGGGAAGATCCCACATGCTGCAGAGCAGCTAGGCCTGTGAGCCATGGCCGCTGAGCCTGCGCGCCCGGAGCCTGTGCTCCGCAACGGGAGAGGCCACAACAGTGAGAGGCCTGTGTACCGCAAAAAAAAAAAAAAAATTTTTTTGATGATGGCCGTTCTGACTGGTGTGAGATGACATCTCATTGTAGTTTTAGAGAAATGCAAATCAAAACTACAATGAGATATCATCTCACACCAGTCAGAATGGCCATCATCAAAAAATGTAGAAACCATAAATGCTGGAGAGGATGTGGAGAAAAGGGAACACGCTTGCACTGCTGGTGGGAATGTGAATTGGTACAGCCACTATGGAGAACAGTATGGAGGTTCCTTAAAAAACTACAAATAGAACTACCATATGATCCAGCAATCCCACTACTGGGCATATAACCTGAGAAAACCATAATTCAAAAAGAGTCATGTACCAAAATGTTCATTGCAGCTCTATTTACAATAGCCCGGAGATGGAAATAACCTAAGTGTCCATCATCGGATGAATGGATAAAGAAGATGTGGCACATATATACAATGGAATATTACTCAGCCATAAAAAGAAACAAAATTGAGCTATTTGTAATGAGGTGGATGGACCTAGAGTCTGTCATACAGAGCGAAGTAAGTCAGAAAGAGAAAGACAAATACCGTATGCTAACACATATATATGGAATTTAAGAAAAAAAAATGTCGTGAAGAACCTAGGGGTAAGACAAGAATAAAGACACAGACTTATTAGAGAATGGACTTGAGCATATGGGGCACGGGAAGGGTAAGCTGTGACAAAGCGACAGAGAGGAATGGATATATATACACTACCAAACGTAAGGTAGATAGCTAGTGGGAAGCAGCCGCATAGCACGGGGAGATCAGCTTGGTGCTTTGTGACCGCCTGGAGGGGTGGGAGGGAGGGAGATGCAAGAGGGAAGAGATATGGGAACATATGTATATGTATAACTGATTCACTTTGTTATAAAGCAGAAACTAATACACCATTGTAAAGCAATTATACGTCAATAAAGATGTAAAAAAACAAAAAAAAATGAAGGAAGGAAAAATTAATACGATCAGAAGAACAATTTCATTTGATATATAACAACACTGAACATTATTAAATATTCGAACACTACTTTATAATTTCTTAGTTTCGAACAATAAAACATATCCCTTGAATTTTCTCAATCACAGCCATTCTACAAAGATTCACATCTAACCGGTAAGAATTCAGCTCACCTTCCACACTGTCAGAACAGGAAGTTCCAATGCCAGTGTCACCACTGTCAGAAGCTATACTATGTCTCCTGATATGGTTATTTCGCTGGTTAGATGGAACAGTTGTGGCCTGCCACAATGATTCATTACCAGGTAACCATGCTGATGAAGAATAATCTGGGCCTGCAAAAGAAAATATGCAGAAGTTAACATTTATAATGTCTGTGAGTAGACAGAAGACATCTTTTGACCTTGTAAAAAATGCAAGTAAGGTAAAATAAGCTTATTTTCTGCTGAAAATAGTTTAAATAGATCGGTGATACCTAAGATTCACCAAATAAACTTATTTATCACACATACACAAATTCAATGCTGATTTAGCAGCTTCCTCTGGCTGAAGAGCTCTGATTTCTGCTTATAGACATTGAACTTTTATACATGGAACTACTGTCTGATTTAAAATATCAACTCTATCATCAATCCATCTGGAAATGTCAGCACTCTGCTTTGTAATATTTGATAGGTAGGCATCTGTGATCCAGACACAGGCATTAGCTGAGAATTGGGACTCAGGGAAAATCTAATCAAATCATATTGCATGACAATGTAAGTAGAATGTGCTCATGGAAGGTCAAAAAAATCTATTTTTTTCTGCTATAACCTAACCACTTAAAATTTTAAATTCTTTTGCATTATTTTAATTGATTTTATTTCTTTAGTTATCTTTTGATAAAAGTTTAACACCAGAGCATCTTCCTGGCTTTTTGCTTAATTTTCCCTTTTGAGTTACGTTAAATCTTCATTGTTTAGCTAATGTATCACTTTTCAGTGTTCTCTTATAATCTTTATTTTCACTTACGTTGTCCATTTTTACTTAACTTCCATTTGCCTTTTTCTGATTCATCCATCATTTTACGTTTTTGGTCACTTCATTCTTTTATTGTCTACGATGCCACTCAAAATATACCCATGGGGTTTCCTTGGTGTAGCAGTGGTTGAGAGTCCACCTGCCGATGCAGGGGACACGGGTTCATGCCCCGGTCCGGGAAGTTCCCATATGCCGCGGAGCGGCTAGGCCCGTGAGCCATGGCTGCTGAGCCTGCACGTCCAGAGCCTGTGCTCCGCAACAGGAGAGGCCACAACAGTGAGACGCCCACGTACCGCAAA